TTATGTTAATCGCCTACGAGAATTCAAAGGAAAATTTTATAACTGTGACCTACCATCCGTCCTCAAACTCAACCCTAAAAAATTCTGGAGGCTCATCGCACCAAATGAAGCCACAAATAAAATATCCTTGGCTAACCGGGAAGGTGACACCATTTCTGACGTTGAATGTCCTGTTGTTGTGAATAACCATTTTGCATCTATATTTACGCAGGAGGATAAGTCAACAGTGCCCGTTATTAATGACGTTAGCTATCAATTCATGAGTCCTATTTCCGTATCACCTTCGGGAATTGAAAATATTATAGATAACCTAAATATTACTGCATCGGCTGGCACAGATAACATTAACTTCTTAAAAATACAAAGCGCGTATCCAGTGAAATTTGCGGTCTACTATTTCAACAATCATTGTGCACCGGTATACTTCCAGACGAATGGAAGATATATAGGGAAGGTCGTTCCTGTTTTCAAAAACGTAGATCGCCACCTCGCAGAGAACTACCGCCCCATCTCTTTAACCAGCGTTGTGTGCAAAGTACTTGAATGATATAATTTTTTCACATGTTGCATCGTATCTTGAGTCTAACAATTTTTTTTTATAAACATCAGTATGGTTTTCGTAAAGGCTTTTCCTGTGAAGCGAAACTGCTTCAATTCACCCATGACCTACATCTTAACATGAACTCTAACTCTCAAACCGATGCAATATTTATGGACTTTTCTAAAGTATTCGACAGCGTTCCCCACTGTCGCCTTTTGTCTAAACTTTCGTCACTTAATCTTGATTCTTTAACCCTGTCATATGGAATCGCAACTTTCTGTCGTTTCGCTCTCAGTATACTGTCTGTGGTGATTTTCAGTCTGACATTACTAATGTAACCTCTGGCGTTCCGCAAGGCAGCGTCTTGGGTCCTTTGTTATTTCTTATCCACATAAACGACCTCGCAAATGCATTGTTTTCTAATGTGCGTTTGTTTGCGGATGACTGTGTCTTGTACAGAAAAATAAACACTCCAGATGACCACGTATTACTCCAGCATGATCTTGATCGCATTAACAACTGGTGAGAAGAATGGCTAATGGCACTAAATAAATACAAATGCCAAGTAATGAACTTCACTCGCAAACGATCTTTCACAGTTCCCATACACATTAGGCACTTCATCCCTTAGCGTATGTTCATCCTACAAGTATCTTGGTGTCCATCTTACATCTAACCTTTCATGGGTCACCCACATTAACTCTGTGACCGCTGACGCATCTAGAACGCTCGGTTATATTAAACGTAACTTAAAAGCGGCCCCTAAACAACTCCGCAAACTCGCTTATGAAACATATCTCCGTCCTAAACTGGAATATGCTGCCGCGATTTAGAGCCCTCATCAGAAATACCTAACCACGCACATTGAAAAAGTCCAGACTCGAGCAGCACGCTTTATAACATCTTCCTATTCATATAGCATGAATGTCTCTCTCCTAAAACATCAATGTTCCCTGCCATTGCTCGAAGCGCGTCGAACCATTTTTACTCTGTGCCTAATTCAAAAGTTCTATTACGCGTATAACAATCGTTTTTCAAGCGAATAATATATCATCTCATCGAACCACTAACAGTAAAAGTTTTTAACACCTCACTGGGTCAACCAACGCGTTTATTAACTCAGTTGTACCACGTGGCATCCGCGCATGAAACGACCTTCCCGAATCCATAGTCACCATTGCCGAGACCACACTGTTCCGTGCTAAACTTGAATCTTATTTTCTAAGCAATGCGCTTCCGCTTAATTCTGTTTCTGTGTAACTTGACAACTTTTTATATCAGTCCAGTGTTTTTAGAGCGCAGCTCTTAGGGGCCCGTTCCCGGCTTGAGCGGCGTCGCCGTCGGCGTTGGCGTCGCCGTCGCCGTCGGCGTCGGCGTCGGCGTCGGCGTCGGCGTAACCAAGGTCATCCCAAGGTCACGTGACCCCCAAGGTCACGTGACCCCTCCCAAGGTCATCTCAAGGTCACGTGACCCCACGTGACCCCCTGAAGGTCACGTGACCCCTCGAGGTCACGTGACCCCTTCCAAGGTCATCTCAAGGTCACGTGACCCCAAGATGACCCCACGTGACCCTTTGAAGGTCACGTGACCCCCAACTCACGTGACCCCTCTGAGGTCACGTGACCTCCGAGGTCACGTGGTCGCCTCCCCAAGGTCACGTGACCCCCGAGGTCACGTGACCCCCAAGGTCACGTGACCCCTTCCAAGGTCATCTCAAGGTCACGTGACCCCACGTGACCCCCAGGTCACGTGACCCCTTTGAGGTCACGTGACCCCTCTGAGGTCACGTGACCCCCCGAGGTCACGTGACCCCTCCAGGTCACGTGACCCCAAGGTCACGTGGGGGTCACCTTTGGGGTCACGTGGCCTTGAGGTCACCCCCAGGTCACGCCTCCCCGAGGTCACGTGACCCCCTCCCCGAAGTCACGTGACACCCCCCCCCGGAGCATATTAAAGAATGAGGGGAGGAGGAGGAGAAGGGGGAGGGGTCTACCCTCCCCTCAGTACCCTTCACTCCTCCTCCTCAAGAGCTGCGCTCCAATTCGGCGTTACAGGGATTTGTAAACGGCTTTCACTTTTTTTTGTTTTGTTTTTTCTCTAAAATTTGTACTTAGTTGGGTGTTCATTGTATGCTGTGCCTACATGACAACTTTGTGTGAGACTGTATGTGCGTTTGTTCTATTTTCTTTTGTGAATGTATGTGTATAATACCCCCCTTACTCAATGCTCTGGAAAAGAACCTGTAAGGTATTGTGAATAAAGTGCTGCAGTCGGTTTTTGTTTTGTTTTGTTTTGTTCTTTCCGTGATAGATTGGCTTCGTGTGTGGTTGCGTCGACATTTGTAAATATGCGTGGTAATATTCTAGTTTTCACTGGAAGGTGAATAACAAGTTTGTGCAATAGTTGTTAATGCAATAGCAGTTGTTTGTGCTTATGCGTTTATTTATACTAATGTTTTTTGATAGCCTTTACCGCTTTTATACTAGAATCTTAACTGTATTAAGGTAGTAGTATTATTGTATACAAAATAAGATATTTTGTTCTAAGGCAGCTAGAGACAATAGGGAGAAGTAAATTAGTTGACTGTAAATAGTAAGTTTAGTACCCCTGCCACACGGAAAAGTTAATATATTTTCATTAAATGATATGGGACACAATCAGCTCATGGTCTTGAGTGATTATACGAGCGTCGCAAGCTGATTTGTCTATCCCATAATGTCATTCGATCGAAATTACATTACTTTTGCCATGTTGCCGGGGTATCATGCAAGGATTCAGTGACTGCACGCGATAACATTGCTTACATGATCGTGACACTTGTCTCGCCGTGTCCGCGTTGACTACGTCTACCTGAATTTTAACTGTAATCTGTCTTGCTGTGTCCAATCATCACTGCGTGTCTCGCCATTTTGTCGAAGTATTTCTGTGTAAAATATGCATTCCTGCAGCAATAATTGCGTGACTCAATGTTTTCTCTTATCCGCCTACCTCCTACCATTTCATACCGATTATTTTGCGGTGTAATATTTTGCCCGTGTAATAAAATATTTTCGAGACTCCTTGCTATGTGCAGCTTTCATTTTAGCTAATAAGACACGCGTCTTTTGTTGTCATCATCACCGGCACGAGGTATCACGCAAAAATATCGCGTCCCTGATTGGATCCAGCCGCTTCAAACGTCTTCGAATTGCTCAGTTGCTCGCTTGTTTCGAGGCGGACCCGATCTCAGCAATTCGTGTTGATCTAGGGAAAGCTAGGGAACAAACCGCCAGCAACACCAAAATTGCTGAGAAAGTTGCTCCATCTGAACGGGGCCTCACGCACTCACCGCCCTCATGCCCCTCACGCACTCATGGCCCTCACGCACTCACCGCCTCACACCGCTCACGCCCCTCACGCACTCATGGCTCTCACACCCCTCACGGCCCCCCTCACGCACTCATGGCCCTCACGCCACTGACCGCCCCCACGCACAAAACCACCCTCACGCACTCACGGTCCTCACAGCCGTCATCTCACCCTCACACTAATGAATTTTTCTGGTTCAGAAACTCACTCACCCTCACCTCACCTGTGAAGATGGGGGTGAGTGAGGGCCCTCACGAGTGAGGTTTGCCAAGGTATGGGTTTGACGTCTCCTTTGAGATTGCCGCCGCTGTTGAGACAACCCTTTGGTTACTCTATCGGAACCTGTGTTGGTAGCTAGCAAATCCCACATGCTATAGCTCCGAGGTCTGGCCATTTAGGTTATATTTTAGAGACCAAAAATGACGATCTCGGGACCAGAAAACATGCCACGCTCTGTGTATAATCTCTTGTCGACGTGTCGATCAAAACCGAAAGCATCTTGTTATGTATGGAGGCCAACGCTACATCATAGCAAACTCACGTATTTAATAAGGCAGAAAAGATAGGATAGACTCGAACCGCAGCATGCTCCAGAGTCCCCGCTCGTGCAGCTCTCTGGTCCGCGTGGCAGGCTCGCGTATCGTTGTCTTCCAGCTCACGCGGTAATATCCGCGATACTACATCCCTTTCCCCCGGAATCGTCACCACCCAGTCCGTAGGTGTCCTAATTACCAGTTCTGACTTACCTGAAGTTCGAGCGGGAATTATGCGAAGCCTATGGAAGAACATACTATCAAGTTCACAACTCCAACTGGTAGTCTTGAAGGTACCGCGGTGCTCAACGTACTTTCTTCGGATGACCAGTTGGCACTTCAGCGTCAGCTGTTGGACGGGGAAGCATTTCCGGTTCGCATATCTGTAAGCGGGCCGCCAGTCGGGTGATGAATAATGTTTATTGTTACGAAGTGCGCCTTTATCAAGGCGAGGAACGGTGTGACGTAGGACGTTCTACGGTACATGATTGGGTGAGCTCTTTCACTAGCATGACACAGCTTGTGCCCTGCTACATCTCCCCTCTTTAAAGGAGAATGGGAAAGGGGAAGGGGCTTTGTTACAGTCTTTCGGGCAGTGGGTACCGGCAGGGTTCCCGGCGTTCTCGGGTACTTCTGCGTAGCTCTTGACTGGGCTCGTTGATGTCCTGGTCTGCCGGTCGGTCTTCGGTGGAAGGTCGACTTGAGTCCGGCTGGGATGCTGCCTCCCTTAGGTGCTCTCTTGTGCGTCGAATCTCGCGGCCGCCTTCAGTCTGAAGAATCGCTGAACGCGGGGTGCCCGCTGGTCTCAGGATGACGGCTGGCGACCAGGTTCGCTGGCGTGTGTCGTACGTCGTGATCTGTTGCCCCGGTGACAATGGCGGCAGGTTTCGGGAGTTGCGGTTGTAGAAGGTCATCTGCCGCTGCCGGATCTCCTTGAGGCGGTTGTGGACAGCTTTGCTTGGCACAGTCTCCGGCTCCAGGTGGCTTGTTGGTACTGGTAGCAGCGTCCGCGTCTGTCGTCCCATCAGCCTCTGCACAGGAGACTTGAGGACAGCATCTCTGGGAGTATTTCGCCACTCAAGTAAAGCCATTTGGAAGTCTGGCATTCTGAATGAGCACTTTTTTAAAAGTTTCTTGGCCTCTTGAACTGCTCTTTCACTCATACCATTAGAGCGTGGGTGGTAGGGACTAGAGGTAGTGTGCATTACGCCTAGATGGGCTAGAAAGTCTTTGAACTCTTTGCTGTTAAATGGTGGGCCGTTGTCACTACACAGCTTCAGTGGTAGCCCATGAACTGAAAAAACTTCAGCACACCACGATTTAACCATGTTTGCGGTTGTGTGGCGGAGCTCCCGAACCTCAAAAAAGAACGAATAGAAGTCTACAATTATTGCAAACTCGCGTCCGCCGTATGAGAACAAGTCCATTCCCACGATCTCCCAAGGCAATGTCGGGACGTCGTGGCTCAGAAGAGGCATCTTTACGTTTCGTGGCTGATGCATCTGGCACACCTTGCAGGCTTTACAAAACTGCTCTATATCATTGGACATGTTTGGCCAAAACAACACACTTCTTGCTCGCGCTTTCATCTTCTCCGCCCCCGCGTGTGCCATGTGCAGGAGGTACATCATTTCTACTCTTTTTGATTTTGGTATCATTACCTTATTGCTGCGAAACAGAAGGCCGTCTTGAGTGTGTATCTCCTCGCGGTACGCCCAGTAGGGACGGACGATTTCTGGGACGTCTTGCTTGTTATCAGGCCAGCTTGATTCCGCGTAGTCACGCAGGTTTGAGAGTTCGGGGTCCTCATTGGTTGCTCCAAGAAGGTCCTTAAGGCGAGTTTCTGATGCTGAAACGTAAGCAAGTACGTTCACATGAAACTGGGTGGTTTCTTCTTGCATGCTGACTTTACTGGGGAAGCGTGACAAAGCATCGGCAAGAAAGAGTTCTTTGCCCGGCTTGTATAGAAGACGGATGGGGTAACGTTGCAGAGTCAATCGCATACGCTGCAAACGAAGTGGAACTTGGTGCAGTGGTTTTTGAAAAATCGGCACCAAGGGACGGTGATCTGTCTCGACAATTACTTCCGCCTGGCCGAAAATGTAATCATGAAATTTGGTACAGCCGTGCACAATTGCCAGTGTTTCTTTTTCAATTTGTGCGTATCGCTGTTGCGTTTCCGTAAGGGATCTTGATGAAAAAGCGATAGGATGTCCTTCCTGAGCAATGACGGCCCCCACTCCGTATTGACTGGCATCAACAGAAAGAGTGACTGATTTTTTTGGATCAAAGTACGACAGAACCGGTGCTTCGATCAATGCTCGTCTTAGGGCGTCAAAACTGTTTTGCTGCTGTTCGGTCCATACCCAGGCAACATCCTTGCGCAGTAGAGCTCTCAGCGGCGCAGTCACGTCGGACATGCGAGGTACAAAACGCTGTACAAAGTTCATTGTGCCAAGAAAAACTTGCAACTCCTTACTGTTTGAGGGTGGCGGCATCGCCAGGATGTCATTTACGCGGTCCGGGTCCAGGCGCAGGCCTTTCGTGGTCAGGATGTGACCTAGGTAGCGGACTTCTGTCTGCAAAAAGGTACATTTCTTTAGATTCAGTCGCAGATTGTGATCTCGGCAGCGCGACAGCAGTAGTGTCAAGTGATGGTCGTGCTCTTCTTTTGTTCTGCCCCAGAGTAGAATATCGTCCATCACTACGGCGACACAAGGTAGCCCTTCTAGTAGGCGGTGCATTGCTGCTTGAAAAATTTCTGGCGCGGATGCGATTCCAAAGGGCATCCGGAGGAAGCGATATCGGCCGTACGGTGTGCTCATCGTGCATATTTTGGAACTCGACTCTGTAAGTTTGATTTGCCAAAATCCTGACGCCGCATCTAGGGTCGAAAAGAATTTTGCTCCAGACAGTAGCGGCTCGACGTCCTCTAGGGTTGGCATTGGGTAGTTTTCACGCAAAAGTGCTTTGTTGAGTGCCGTAGGGTCCAAACAAATACGCACTTTGTCATTTTTAATGACGGTGACCATGTGGCTAGACCATGCAGTAGGCTCTGTTACCTTGGTTATGACGCCTTGCTCTCCCATGCGCTGAAGTTCCGCCTTCACCTTGTCTTGAAGAGCAACTGGAACTCTCCTGGCCGGCACGACGACTCCAACAGTTCCAGGTTTCAGCTTCATTTCATACTCGACATCTTTCAATTGCCCAAGGCCTTTGAAAACTTCTGCAAAAGGTTGTGCGGCTTGGTACAAGTTCTCTAGATGAACATTCTGCACCCGGTACAGAAGTCCCAGGCGCTCGGCAACGGATTCGCTCAAGGTGATCGGCACATGTTGTTTTACGACAAAGAAGAGTTCTTCGTGCTCTCTGCCGTTTGCGGAAAGAAGCAATTTTACTTTCTCGTGAGCAGTCGTCTTGTTTCCGAAAAACGCAGTTAGCGTCACTTGACACTCTTGCCGAGGCTTATCTGAAAGCTTTACGGCGTCTTGCATTGATATGACGCAGCAGTTAGCGCCCGTATCTAGCTTGCACGCCATTGGTTTGCCCTCAATGTGAACTGACGCGCTCCATTTGTCGGTCTCGACCCAGTTTACCGTTAATGCTTCGAGAAAGAATTCCTCGTCACTTTCGGTGTGCAGAGCGCGTAGTTCTTTCTTCGGTTTATTCGCGCTTTGTTGAAGTACAGGCGTCTTGCACACTTGAGCAAAGTGATTAAGCCTTCCACATTTCTTGCACGTTTTTCCTTTTGCTGGGCAGGTTTCGCCGCGGTGAGTAAAATAGCCGCACCTAGAGCAGGGACTCTTTTTCGCAGCAACAGCATTAATAGTTGTCTCAGATGCGCCTTGCGCTGTTCCAGTAATCTCTCGGAACTTTTCCTGCCCTTGTTCTTGAAGGCGACACAGCTCAACGGTCTTTTCGTAGGTTGGGTTTTCAACAAGTAATTTCCGCTGCAAGCTCTTGTCTCGAACTCCTAGGATGATACGGCTGCGTAGCATCCGATCTTCTAGCTCTCCAAATTCGCAATTCTTAGCTAGAATCCTTAGCTCTGTTAACCATTCGTTGAAAGGTTCACCTTCTTTTTGGTCTCTTGACCCAAATCTGAATTCCTGGAAAGTCAGCTTTGTAGCGGGCTTGTAGTATTCTTCGAACTTTTGAATCAGTACTTCTACACTGTTTCTTTCTTCATCTGTAGTGAACTTAAAGGTCTCGTACGCCTTTCTGGCTTCTTCTCCGATTGTTATTAGTAAGGTTGCTGCCTGCACTTCCTCTGGCTGATTGCTCAATTGCGTAGCGGTGGAAAACAAGGCGAACTCACGTTTCCAATTTTTCCATCCGAGCCATGCGTCGCCTGAGGTGTCCAGGGGCTTCGGTGGCGGCAGCAGCGTTGACGGCAATGGGGGCATCGGCGGCGTTGACGGTTTCGACATCTCGACTGGGCACCGCTGCCACCATGTAAGCGGGCCGCCAGTCGGGTGATGAATAACGTTTATTGTTACGAAGTGCGCCTTTATCAAGGCGAGGAACGGTGTGACGTAGGACGTTCTACGGTACATGATTGGGTGAGCTCTTTCACTAGCATGACACAGCTTGTGCCCTGCTACAATATCGGCGTTTCGGAAAACTCGGCATCCAAAAGCTCCTCCGGATGACTCACTCGTATGGGGCATTGTTATTCCGAACTCCGCATGTGTGGTTGTCTCCAAGACGTCTTCACGGTCTCTTCCCCTTTCCTCCCGGAGACTTGCATCGCATTCGGACGCCGAGGAAAATGTCGTGTCCTTCTAACGTGGACGCAGGTGATGGAAAGTTTACGCCACTGCTCAGGAGAACATGACCTTTGAGTCCTTGCAGTTCTACAAAGAATCCAAGTGGACGGACTATGCTTGAACCAAAAGAAGTGCACTTTTGGAGTGCAAGAAGTGACGTTCCTGGTTTACAAGGTAGACCAAGACGGGGTACAGCCAACACAGGACAAGGTGAGAGCAATCCATGATGCACCTGCATCTAAAGACAAGAAGGAGCTTCAAGCCTTCTTAGGACTCCTGAGCTTTTATAATCGCTTCCTGCTTGGAGCTTCAGACGTGTTGGAGCCTCTCCACCGACTTCTAAGCGACGGAGTAAAATGGAGTTGGTCATCCAAAGAAGCAAAGGCCTTCAATAATGCAAAAGGAACTTCTAAAGTCTGACAGTGTTCTGTTCCACTATGACCTTAACACTGGTACTGGTTTGTGACGCCTCTCCTTACGGTGTAGGGGCTGTGTTAAGCCACGCAGATGACGAAGGTCAAGAGCGACCTGTCGATTACAATTCACGTTCGCTGACAACAGCGGAAAGAAACTATTCTCAAACAGATCGGGAAGCACTAGCTGTAGTCTTCGGACTAAAAAGGTTTCATCACTATGTCTACGGAAGAAACATCAAGATTTACACTGACCGCGAACCGTTACTTGGTTTGTTCGGCAATAAGAAACCGATTCCGAAGATGGTATCACCAAGGGTCCTCCGTTGGAGCTTGATGTTAGCAGCTCACCATGACCAGTTATTGTACTGTCCAGGTAAACAAATGGGAAATGTGGATGGTCTCAGCCGACTTCCGCTACCTTCTCCCAACTTCGACGTTCCGCAACTGGGAAAAGCTTTTCTTTTGGAAGGAACTCCATAAGGATTGGTGAAAGCCGAAGTGGCAAAAATGACGAAAAAATATCAGGTTTTTTCAACTGTGATGTACTGGGTTCTCCATGGATGGCCGGAACAAAAGTCAAAGAACCTTCTCAGTGCATTCCATAGCCGACGAGAAGAGTTGTCGGTATACAACGGTTGTTTGCTATGGGGACACCGTGTGGTTTATTTATTTATTTATTTATTTATTTGCATACTCTCAAGGCCCGGAGGCATTACAGAGAGGAGTGGTACTATACAGTATAAAATCGTTGGCTACTTTCTTGAAGTCTGTGGCTTCAGTGATGGCAGCAATGGAGGCAGGGAGGTGGTTCCAATCGTTAGAAGTTCTTGGAATGAAGGAGTCAAAGTATACGTTTGTTCGACATGATGGAGTCCCCACCTTAAACTGATGGTCAGTGCGAGACGATATGTAGTTATGTAGTAGTAGTAGTAGTAGTATGTAGATATGTTCCCAAGAAACTTCAGGAGATCGTTCTGGACATTCTGCATGCCTCGCATCCCGGTGTTTTGCGCATGAAAGGCCCAGCTAGAAGCTACGTCTGGTGGCAAAGGACTAGACCAACAGATCGAAGAACGTGTTCGATGCTGTATGACTTGTCAGGAGACGCGAAATGCACCGGTCCGCGCTCCAATCCATCCATGGGGATGGACGGTGAATCCATGGTCCAGACTACACATGGATTTTGCCGGCCCTTTTGAAGGCAAGATATTTTTTATCGTCATTGATTCGCACTCAAAATGGGTCGAGGTATGTTTAGTGAAAATAACTTCAGCGGCGGAAGTCATCTGAAGTTTAAGAGAACTGTTTGCGACACATGGAGTGCCGGATGTTCTGGTTTCCGACAACGGAGCTACCTTCACTTCGGCAGAGTTTTGAGAGTTCGCAGACAGCAACGGTATTCGACTTCCGTTTGTTTCGCCGTATCATCCAGCTTCTAACGGCCAAGCTGAAAGGATGGTCCAGGAAACCAAAAAGTCGCTGTCACGCCTGAAGGAAGGAGACTGGTCCACAAGGATATCAAGATTTTTGGTAACTCAACATGTTCTACCTTCCACTACTAATGGGAAAAGCCCAGCCAAGTTGATGATGGGATGTAAGCTACGAACAGCTTTAGATCTGCTTCATCCATCGTCGGCAAACCGCACGATTGAAAGACAAGAGAAGATGTTCATGGAGCAGAGGAAGGAAACGGTCACTTTTCAGAAAGATGCGATGGTCTGGGTAAGGAATCTACCGTATTTGCACGAATATAACGCGACCACGAATATAATGCGAGGGCAGGTTTTGATGCCCTCAAAAATAAAAAAAATATTTTATTACTATTATAACGCGAACTGAGGCCGCGTCCATTTCTCGCACTCGGGGGCATAGCAGATGTGAAAAGTCAATGGAAATAGAAGAAATATCAGTTTATGTTTTGAATACACTCATCCTCACTGTTCAGGTCCTTCTGTTTACAATCCACTTGGTGACTACGCAGATAAGCAGCAGCACGGCACCTGCTTGTCTGGTAGTTCTCTTTTCTTGCGAGCTCCTCGGCAGCCCACAATCCAAACAAGGCACGAAGCAGAAGCAGCCCACAATCCAAACAAGGCACGTAGGTATGATAAGTTACGAAGACTACGTGAAGTTCATAATTTTCAACGTTCAGGCCCGCATGTGTTTAAAAAGTTGAAATTGAACAAAAGTTGCCTCAATGAATATTTTTATGCATTTCTTTCGCTACTTGCGGTTTTACTGAAAACGGAAGAACCAGCAAAATTTGTTTCTTTTTGTGATGGCTACAAGGGTATCAAACACGCTCCGATTAGGCAAGCCAGCAAACAAAATTGGACGTCTGAACCCGATCGTGTTAGAGTGAAAACAATTTACGCCGTAAAATATTCCCGTATCGCAAACAAATAGAATTAGTTTCTATAAACCTGATGAGTCTCTTTAGACTTGGTATTTTTGCTACAAATACAAGATCAAAATCGTATCATTATGCGAACAATTAAAACTTTCAAACAATCTAAAAAAATCTGGTCGTACGAAATCTCTTCTTCGGCTTGTCAATATTTTGCACCCTAAAACGTTCTGTTAAGCACCCCCTAAAAAGGGTTCTTCGTGAAAAACATTTAAAGGGTTCTTTTAAGCTACTTTTCTTACACAAAATGGTTCCTCATCGACCAGTTCTCTTTCTAGTGCACCACGAGGTGACAGTGATTGAGGCAAAACAGTTCTTCACGAGCTGTCAGTGTTCTTCGGGCATCAGGGGGGGGGGGGGGGGGGGGGGGGGTACGTGCAGTTTCATTATATTGTTTGCGTTCATCGTCTACTGCAGGCATCTCGAAAGGACTGAAGAATCGACTGTTGCCGTCGAAAATAATTCAGAAACAGCCGACTCTTCGACAATTCCTTTTT